GGCGGCGGGCGGGCGGCGGCGGGCCGAGGGGGCGCGGGGACACGGCCGGGCGCCCCTGCCCGCCGCGGAGCCCGCCGCCTGAAGGCTGCCCGGGGCGCGGAGCCGGCGCCGGCGCGGCGCGGGCGCAGGAGGCATTCCAGGCGCGATGTCGGTGCCGCTGCTCAAGATCGGGGTTGTGCTCAGCACCATGGCCATGATCACCAACTGGATGTCCCAGACGCTGCCCTCGCTGGTGGGCCTCAACACCACCAAGCTCTCGGCGGCCAGCGGCGGGACGCTCGACCGCAGCACCGGCGTAAGTGCGCCCGCCGCCCGCCCTGGCGGGGCCTCCTCGCCCGCTCCCTCCCGGTCCCCAGCCCCGGGCGGGAGGGCGCCGCGCGGGGGAGCCGGGCGCAGGGGCAAGGGCACGCGCGGGGGCCACCCTGCTCCCCACACCCCAGTCTCGGCCACTCCTCCGACCGCGGTCCCCTCTGTGTGGCGCTTGCTGCCTCTGCCCGGTCCCCTCGCGGGGCCGGGGAGCCTGCCCAGGGACTCAGAGGCTTGGAGTCCTCGTTCAACTAATAAGTCTCTTGTTGATAAGGTTAGGGAACTGAAGCAGGGGTCTTGGGGACTTGTCCAAGGTCACTCAGCAAGTAAGGGGTGGAGACGCGGTGGACCCCAGTCTGGCTGGGTCCAGCCGGGGCTGGGAACTGAGCCCGCCCCACTTTGCAAAAGCCGGACTGGACCGGCCGGAGTGGGGCCCGGGCGGGCGGGCTCCGAGCTCTTGCCCTCAAAGTCCCAAGGCGTCTTTCTCTCCCCATCCCCATGCGGAGATCCATAAGGTCCCCGCCGGCGGAGGGTGTAGAGGGGCCGGGCGGGGCCCGGGGAGCCACAGCTGCGGGGCTCGCCCCTTGCCTTCCGCGCGATGCGTTGGGGGAGGGGGTGAGCGGCCAGGGCCGCCTCTGGACTGGACTGACTTAGGTGGTGGCGGGAGCGGAGGCTGAGCCGGAGCCACCGGGGAACGGCCGCTGGCGGGGCCGGCGGAGGAAGGGGCGCGCCTCAGGCTCGCCCCCTCTAAGCCGAAAGGAGAGGTGAAGGACACGCGGCTCCCTCTCGCGCTCCCTCTGGGCTGTCAAGGGCGCAGTGCTCGGGGAGGAGGTCTCCTGGCGACCCCTTGTAAGATGGTCATCCGTTCACCTCACCTGCTCTTTCGAGAACTGCAGGCGGCATTTTCTTCCTGATGACTTTGTTCCTACCTCTGGGTCCTGAGATCCTGGGGTTGGAAATGAATCAAATGAAATGTATCTACTGTGGATTCCCTCCACCCAACTTCTCCCCATACCAACGCTAAAGATAGCAGGGAGGTGACTACCTGAGGCCACCGGGCAGGCTGCAGGGTCTGTACCCGGGGTGTTTTCGGACAGTGGTGTCTGTCTGCCCCGTGTACATGGGCGGGACCACCTGAGCTGGGTTGCAAGGTGACACCAGCCATGTCACCATGTCAGCAGCCATGTGCAGCTCTGGTTTCGTGACCGTCCTTGGGCACACCTCAGGTTTGAGGTTGGGTGTGACCCCTGCCCAACATGTCACCAGCAACTTGGTGACATCTGCCCAATGGCTAGTGGGTGGCAGCCTGTGCAGAGTTGAAGCCCAGCATCTTTGCGGGCAGCCTTCACCAGACCGCCAGTAGGAACACTGCTGGGGCTCGGGGTCATCGCAGCTCTGGGCTAAGAGGCTGCTGGATCCCGGCTAGTACCACTGGTTCTGCTTCTCCAGTACCAGGGAGCAGCAGAGAGAGGCTGCGCCAGCCTCCCATGCTCACCTTACGGGAGGAGATCCTATTTCTCAGTTACATGCCGTTGTGAGTCAACCAGCATGCAGTCTCCGGTCCCCCCTCCCCTCCACCTAGCCTATCAGTTGGGTCAGATGCCAAAACTCCAAACATCCCCTAAATTTAAAAATCCCTTGAATTAAAAAAAATGTTTTAAAGGGTCATGCCTGTTTGACTCCCTTCCAGCCCTGGGGATCCTGATGGGAGACCGTCTGTGTTCCTCCCTGTTTTTACCTCCCCACGATCGGCACATGTCTTTGGACCACTTCTTTCTGCCCTTTCCCAGGGGCTGGACGTGGACGGTCATCCCGGTGCGCTGCTTTCTGGTCTCACCTTTCTCCCTCCCTCTCCCTCGCCCCACATGCTCTCCAGGTGCTGCCCACCAACCCTGAGGAGAGCTGGCAGGTGTACAGCTCTGCCCAGGACAGTGAGGGCAGGTGCATCTGCACGGTGGTCGCCCCCCAGCAGACCATGTGTTCACGGGATGCCCGCACGAAACAGCTGAGGCAGCTACTGGAGAAGGTGAGTCTGTGCAGGGTGTGTGCGCGTGTGTGTGCATTTGTGTGCCCACGCTAGCAGCAAGGTCCGTCCCAGCTCCAAGACCTCACTCTTCCCTGGCATGGCCCACTGGGAATACTGGTGAATGAATGAAACGGATGGATGGAGGGAGGGAGGGAGGGAGGAACTGAGACTCCCCCAGGGCTGCCCAGGAGGAGGCGAAAAGCTCCACTGGGAGCCACGTGGGCTTTAGCGAGGGAGCAGTTGGGGCTCCTCTCCCACAGCGCCGTCTCTGGGTCACGCCCACAGCCTGCGGTCCAGAGGGCTCAGAGCTGTTGCCCAGCAGAACCTGGGAGAGCTCCCTCGGAGCCCAGAAGCAGGGCCGCTGGGTGGCATCTTTGCCCCCTGCTGCTGAGTCGTTGGACCCGGTGACAGCCAGGCCAGGCGTTCACGCCCATGGCTGCCTTCCCGGTGCAAAAGCAGATTAAATCGTCACCTTTGTGACCCACCTGGGCACAGCACTTGCGGTTTGAATCCGTTATTTCACTTGATCTTCACAAGAGCCAGGTGAAGGTGGCGAGGTTTTCACCCCGTTTTAAGAAGTGGAAATCTGGGTCCAGGCAGGTGGGCTGACTCTCCCAAGGCAAACAGCCAGTGAGCAGGAAGCCGGGTTGGCTCTCAAACCCGGGGCCGGCCTCCCACCTGGCCCGCGACCTCTGCCCCCCACAGAGGCTGGCGCTCCCCATGGATCTTGGCAACCCGCTGCCTGGAACATTCCGCTTGGGAACCCTGGGGTCTCAGGTAACCTGAGCGCCGGTTGTCCTGGGAGCTACTGAGGGGAGAAGGAGAAACGGCGGCCCTAGTACTCCACTCACCGCCCTCCCCAGGGAGAGGGTGCGTTTCACATCAGGCCCCTTCACGCCCTGCGGGAGAGGGGTCACACCTCCCACGCCACACACACATGCTCACGTACGCACACGCGACACACACATCACACATAGCACATATAACTGAACAGATACACGCAGGCCACACACACACCTCACACGTACACACACCACACAACACATGTACAAACACCACATATAACTGAACAGATACACAGAGACCACACACACCTCACACGTACACACACACCTTACACACCACACATGTTACACGTAAACGCTCACTTAGACACACATACACCACACACAAATTTGCATGTGCATACACACACTCACACACACACACACACACACACACACACACACACACACACACACCCTCAGTAAAGCCGAGACTTCTCCATCAGCTGAGGAGCGCTGGGGGGCCTGTGCTGGGAGGAGAGCCACCACCCCGGAGGGAGGCCTGGCAGCCGGCGGAGTCTGTCTAGTTCGGTTCAAGCCCGGCTCATGCACAGACCCTCACACGGGTTCTGGCAAAGCAGGTCCCTTTCTTGAAGTCAGTGGGGAGGGAGGGGCGTCCCTGAGGCTGTCGCGGCCCTGCTGTATGGACGGGGCCCGGGCAGGAGGAGGGCTTGGGGCAGCTGCCGCCTGGCTCCCCTCTGAGGACCTGTGTGTTTTTGTGCTGCCGTCTTTGGTCACCCCAGTAAATCACTTTAAAAGAATTAAAGAAAAATGTATGTAACAGGTTCCACAAACATTCATTGACACCAGACTAGACCGAAGCCTAATTGGGCCTTTAATTATTCATTATTGCAGAGGAGGGAGGTGGAGCTCAGAGGGGCCTCGGGTGGCTGGGGGGTGGCCCCTCAAGCCCTTGGGAGGCCGTGGTCAGTTCCAGAAAGCTCTGTGAGCCCCTGGGAACACAGGCCTTGGAGGCCTCCTTCCTGCCTGTGTATACCACAGCGTTACTGCTTAAACATTTAAAGCCCGCTTTTACACCCTCGTGGGCACTGTGCTGCCGCCACTTCTCGGGGCAGAAGCCGTTTGTTGTATAGAGGGCCTGGCTGCTGTGTGAGAAGGGCAGGGCTGTACGTCCCTCACTCCTTCCCCAGCCTCCTTCTCCTCTTTCCTTCTCGGTGGGCACCATCTGAGCATCTGTTCTGTCCGTGGGCCTGTGGTCCCAGCTGTGCCTGTGTCTCCAGCCTGGCATCCTGTTCAAACCCACGTGAGGAGCTTCCAAAGGTGGAGCCTTCAGTCCCAAGCCCAGAGGTGCTGCTTTGAACTGGCCTGCGGTCTTGAGAGGAACCTAGCACCAGTGTCTCGTGAAAGCCAGGCCCTCACCCCGCGTTAGGGCTGAGGACCCATGGCAAAGGGCGGGCAGGGGCCTCAGGCTCTGTTCTCTTTGAAGAAGCTTATGGCCCAGAGCTTCAAAGTGTGGGCTCTGGAGTCGGTCCGGGCTTTGCATGGTGGCTGTCTGCTGTGTGACAGTAGCCAAGGCACTTAACTTCTCTGAGCCTTTGGTCTCCTTCTGTGTCAAATGAGACTTGAAATAGCGCCCACCTCCCAGAGTTTTGTAAGGATCGGATGAGATCCATAACGCAGTGGGCTCAGCGGTGCCTGGAACGTAGAAAACGTCCCATAAGTATTAGCGATCAGTGCTCGCCTCCAGGCCAGCTGCGTGGGCAGGTTGCTGCTGCCCTCGGCACCTGCAGCCACCTTGGGCGAGGTGGGGGATTGTGCCTTTGGTAGCTGTGTGACCTTGAACTCCTCAGTTGGCTTCTCAGGGACACATCCTACAGGTAAGAGAATGGACGCGCCCAGAGGCGGGGCCTCTAGACCGGGAGCTCAGAGAAGATGCAGGAGTGTGATGGCCGCCTGGGGCTTGATTACCTGCTTTCTGGTCAGCCGGAGAGGGAGGTGCTCATCCAGCCTGGGAAGGACTATAGGAGGGGCGTATTAAAGTGACTGAGTGACTTAGCATCTTGAAAATATGTTTTCTAAATTTAATTTAAAAACTTTTAAATGTGTTAAAAGCATCCTTCTCTGGCAGCTGAACAGCCCAGAGGGCTGTGTGTGGCCCCAGCAGAAGAACCAGGCTGAAGCCCGCGAGGGTCCCGCAGCGTCTGCTCGGCAGGTTTTAGCGGCAGCCTTGTGGGTTTTGCTGTCCATCAAGAATCCCCCTAGGAGGAGGAGGAGGAGGAGGGGTCTTGACTGGAGCTGTCATTTTTGTTCCTTCCTCCCGCCCTACGGCTGTGCATTAGGTGCTGGGCCTTGCGCTTGCAATGAGGCCTGTCCACTTCCCCCCGTTGTCCAGCAAGGCAGTTGAGACAGGGGTGTGGGTCACTGCCATGCAGGCATGGTGCCAACAAGGTGATGGTGTTTCCAAGTGGTGTGCGGCCACTTCTGGCTTGGCTCATCAGGGAAGCCTCCCTGGAGGAGGTGGCATTTGAGCTGGGCCTGGAAGGATAAAGGGAAATACAGCTTTTCTCAAAAGAAGTCCTCAGTTATTCAAAGTGACAGAACAAACTGTTGAGGGGGACAGGAAGACCTGAGGTAACAGAGCAAGTATATTTCAGTTTCCCCTAAAACATCGAAACAGAAAGGATCAGAGCGAGTCAGAGTCACCCACATACTGTATTTTACAAACCTGAATTTTTAAACTGAATACGTGTGCATTACTTTCAAATAACAAGCCATAGAATCCCAGGCAGTTTTAAGCGCTGAGCTGAGTGGTATCAGTTTTTCCTCCTTTGGGTTTCTCTTTCTCATTTATTTTATTTGCGGGGGGTGAAGGACATACCTTAAGAAGTGCAAACCACACTATCCTCTCTTCTTTTACTGACCAGGCAAAGCTAAGTCTCATACCCAAATGATTTAGTTCCAAAAAAGGGAGGGTATTTGCAAATTCAGCAAAAAAGAAAACAGAAATGAAGATTTGCGGTTATGGAGGTATCTTCCCACTGGTAATTGGATTCGATTCTGAGAAAATGACCCAAACAGCACTTTGGCCACCCTGAGCCTCTTCCACCTCCCTGCTACCCCAAATGCATTGGCACAGAAGCGCAAGCCAGTTTCCTGAAAATAAAATGCACTGGCAGGTGGCTGCACTAAAACTGTTTTTCTTTGAAGCTCTCTGGAACCCTGTTGAATATTAAAGTTTCATCTTGAGGCTAGACTCAATTCAGATCTGCCTGTAAAGGTGTAGAACAGAGATTCTTCATTTGCTGGGTGATTGATTCCTGAATCTCTGTTCTGAATGTACATGTTTTCAGAACAGTCACCTACCTATGATACTGTGGGATGTGACGGATGACGTGCAAGATGCAGAATCTGGGAGCCCAGTCCCCTGCTTCCCGAGCACTGTGCTTATGCAATCAGCCCTCTGAGCGAGACACCCAGTGAGATTTAGGGGGAAAGAGGTCTGCGCCTGGAAATGGGGGAAGCCCAGCTATGCTGTTCATCTTTGTTGGTGTTTATGCCTGCCTGACTGATTTCATCCTGCAGAATAAAGAGACTAGAAACAATCCCCTGCCCACGCACCCCAAAAAAAGAAGAAAAAATCACCCAAAGCCATATGCCTGGAGCTATGACCAACAGGGAACCAGAGGTCCCTGCACCCCTGGTTGTAAGAACACGTCCTGGAAGATGGCAGAAGAAATGTTGACCGAACCAATTTGCTCTGTTTGGGGGGTTCTTGGTCATAACAATCCCTGCTGCTGGTGATTAACTAGTAAGTCACGCACGAGCCGCTTCTGGCTCACAGTGGGCTGGCCATGTGGAAAAGGCCACTGTCGTTCGTTAGGAGGCAAATGAGGTCTGCAGGCACCTGCCGCAGCTCCGTCCTTGAATCTGTTGCCTTTTTGACAGGTGCAAAACATGTCTCAATCCATAGAGGTCCTGGACAGGCGGACTCAGAGGGACTTGCAGTACGTGGAGAAGATGGAGAGCCAAATGAAAGGACTGGAGTCCAAGTTCAAACAGGTGGAGGAGAGTCATAAGCAACACCTGGCCAGGCAGTTCAAGGTATGTGTGCTGCGCCTCCTCTCCTCCTCCCCCTCCCCCTCCTCTTCCTCTCCCTCCCCC